CCCCGGTTCCACCAAAAAATAAATAAATAAATAAATAAATAAATAAATAAATAAATAAAAAAAGCGAGTGTCTTCGATGGTTATGTGCTTCCCAAGCAGTACGTGAAGCTGCATTACTGTGTGAGTTGTGCCTTCTCAGCAAAGTGGTCAGAAATCGATCTCCTGAAGCCTGTAAGGATCGAACTCCTCCTCCCCGACTTAGACCAGCTGGTGCTGCCCCACGACCTCCACCAAAGCCCATGTGAGGGGAGCTGGGTCTTAATGGACTGAAGAAAACTCTTGGAAAGAAATAATAAATTGAATGTTATACTCTAAAAAAACCTAAAAAGTTAGAAAGAAAGGAAAAAGAAAACATTTAAGCACTAACTTCCTTACAGTAGACCAGTAGAAATCAGCAGTGTACTTTTCCAAGCTATCCTGTGAATATACAAATATATTTTTCCCCTTCCTTCTTCCTTTCTTTTTTCCTTTCCTTCATCCCAGTGGTTCTTCCCTTTGAACAGTTTCCATAGATGCTGAGAAAGGGAAAGAAATTATTCAGTGAGCTTATCTTGAGGACAGTGTAAGTCCAGTTAGTCGCTGAGCTCGTAGAGGGACCTCTAGTTCCAAGGCTTAAGTCACTTGCCCTGGACAAGTGTTGGTGCTGAGATCTGACTCCAGAGGCTGAGTTCTTCCCCTTGTCATGTGTCCTTCTCAAGCGGGAGCTCTCTGAAACCTTGCCCCAGAGGCGGACAGAGCCGGGCTGTCTTTCTATAGCTCTGTGACTCTGGGTGCTGTCTTTTTTTCCCGTGGGCTTCTGTGTCCTGTTCCTTGAGGACCAGATGGACAGGAACTGATAAGCAAGCAGGGGGGCCTGGATGCAGCCCACTCAGCCAGCAGGGGCATGCTAGGGGCATGCTAGGACACAGTAAGGACAAATCCACACCTGCTGGAGTCTATCTCTATCCTCAAGCCATTGGTACCTATTTCCCAAAAGATCATGAAAAGGGAAAACCTATCGACAGGCACCTCCTGGTTCTCAACCATCTAACCAAGAACAGGTTTGTTCGTGTGAATAACTTTGTTTTTCATAAAAGCATTTATTGCTCACTGGTCCATCCTAGGCCACTCTGCCTCGCTTATTTAACTCCACAGCTACCTTCCTGAGTTCATAGTTGGCCTGGCTTTTGGGCTAGGGCTAGGGAAGAATTTACACCTTGACAGCCATGTGGGAGTGGGTGAGACGTCCCCTCAGAATGGAACATTTGCATGTTCTAAGCCCACAGCCATCTCCTTCAAGGTGCTGAGGAGGCCTGCAAGGGACAGCATGAGTAAGTCTTGCTGGTTCCTCTTTTCCTGCGTGGGGCTGCCTGTAGCCACAGCGAGGAGAAGGGGGGAAGTGAGCTACTGGAGGGACAGCCCCAGGAGGAGGGGACAGATGAAGAATTTCCTACGTGGCCACACTGTCCGCTGTCCATTTCCCTAAAGTCCACGGCTGTATTTGGCCCAGTGACTGCACACCTGCACCTCTTCTCTCTCACAGGTCCCAGGAAAGGGAACAAACACCCATCAGTCTCCAGGACGGAGGGAAGAAGAGACCACAGGGGGCCACTGGTTTTAACTGCTTGGACTCCCCTTTTGTGGTGAAGCATTTGGGGGGCTGACTAGTACCTGGGCCTTTGGAGGAGAGGCTGAGAGCTGGGTGGCACTGGGAGCTCAGAGCATCAGTTTGCAAGGCTTTTACCTCCTCTCAATCCAGCTCTGAGCAAGTAACTTCCTTTTCTGAGAGTTGCTTGCCCCACTCAATGGGAGGTGCTTACTTCATGCACAGCCTAGAAGGTCCTGGCCACCGGGCCTCTGGAGCTGGGTCGGCCGTGGGCCTCTGGCCACTTTCCAGACTCATCACCCTTCTCACACTGCACACTCCAGCCTCATCTGACGACTCAGAATGAAGCATCCTCTATGCCTTGTGTCCTTACTCAGGCCCTTTCCTCTACTTAATGCATCCCTCTTTACACAAGCCTGTGGGAGACCCTCTTCAAGAGCATTCCCCTGTGAGGACTCCCGTCTCTCCTCTGTGCTGTGGACATGACACATCTATGGCTGTCCTTACTTCTTCTGTTTTTCTGTGAGCTGAAATGGGAGCACTCAGGCTAGGCTCTGTGTCTCAGTGATAATTGTTTTTCCTGAGGCTAATAAAAGACCTGGAACAGGGAAAGCTATTGACGTATTGAGGACTAAAAAAAAAAAAGAATAGTAAATATCTGGGCCAGGTACTTGACATGCAGGATTTTATTTAATTATTTTCACCCACGCCTAGATATGGATTCTTATTACCATTTTGCATGGATGTGTAACTCGGGGCAAGCTGATGCAATTGAGTTTGAAGAACTAGGACTCAGGCGAAGGTGTGTCTCAGTGCAAGCCCAGAACTCTTCTCTGTGATGTTCCAAGGACAGCAGCTGCTTGCCTGGGTGACACGATGTGGGTTGCATGAGCCCCACACAGGCCACTTCCTCCCATTCCCCTATCTCACCTTCCCACGTATTTTTGTCCCAGCCAGGACAGCTCCCACGTAGTTCTGCATGATCTTTATCGTCTCCTAAGCTTGGGGAAGTTCCGAAGGCCACTTATACCCAAACACACCTTGCACACCATGTGAGAGGTGAGGAGAGTAGTTTTCCATGTGGTCACTGTGAGTGACGTCCCCTCTCCCTGGGACTCCCACCTCTTCCCGTGGGAAATCCCTTCTCCCCAGGCCTTGTAATAAAAGCTCTGGTGCTGCAGGATGGCACAAGGGAGAGCCCTGGTTTCATCACACACAACAAGGCTGCTCCAGAGAGGTCACAAACAGACACCCGGGATGAAGCTCGCTGCTATGGCTCTGGCGTGCCTGTTGCTGGTTACGGTGTGGCCACAAGATGTGGACAGCATGAGCTGTAAGTGTCCCCAAGTCCTGTTGCTCCTCCCTGAGGAGGGCAGACACATAGGTGCCCTGGAACCCAGCAGGACTCACCTTGAGCTCATGGAGTCTACCACCCATCTTCCCACCTGAGATAGCGGAGAGAGAGCTTGGAAGGGTGGGAGGCCTAGGGCCAGTAGGAAGAACATGAATCAGGCAGACATGGGGCTCAGCCTGAGGAAGCTCTGTCCAGTCAGACCCTGCAAGCTTACAGAGGGGACTGTGGGGTTTTTTAGGTTAGGCTGGAAACTCTGAGGCCAGGAGGAGGGTCTGGGTCTTTCTTGCAATGTGACAGATACAGTAGGACTGTGAGCTCTGATGGCTGGAGGACCTCGAGTGGGTCACTTGACCTCTTGCATGATGGCTTCTCCATGGGTAAAGTGGGGCTGCTGATGTGCACTCCCTGCCAAGGATGCTGGGAGAAAACTGGCCTAGCCACAGACATGAAAGTATTCGGTGAGCAGTAAGCTAAGGGGGAGGAGGCCAGGTTTCGGGGCAAGGGTGGGAGAAGTGTGTGTAAAAAGTAGCAGAGTGGGGGTGGGAGTTGGGGCTGGGACCTGGGAGGGGGGGCACCCCAGAGATGGCCTCGGGAGCTGATTGCTACCAGGAAGTACTTCCTTTGGTGATCCGAGCTCCGTATATAGTTCCTCACCTGGCCCCTGGTCTGTGGACTGCGAACTACAGTGTCCAGGTCCAGAGCGCTGGACCTGAACGCTGGGACAAAGCCATGCGCTCGTGGTGGGAGGCCAGAACCAGAGGAGCTGTTAGGAACCAGGGTATAAACACTCTTGCTCTGGGCATGGGGATCCTGGCCACGGCACAGGTTTATCGCCCCACTGCAGGGAACTCGGGTCAGAGCCCCAGTCTCCTGGCTCTTTCCCTACCTAACCGACAGCGCCCTGCTGCATGCCTCTGGCTGTGGTCCCCAGAGCGCAGGCCTATTCTGGGTGGGGCTTGGCTGGGTTTTAAACAAAATCATCCCACCTGTGAGAGGCTGAGCTAGGACGCGCCTTCCTGTGTTCTTCTCTTCTAGTGCACGTGTCCTCCTCCCGCTGCTGCCACTCTTTTGTGAAGAAAAAGATCTCCCTGCAGAGAATCCGGTGTTACGAAGACATCAGCTCCACCTGCCCTTACAAAGGCGTGATGTGAGTTGTCGCCCAGCCCACCCCTCGGAGGGAGCGTGCTGGCTGAAACGAGAGTAGCGGGCACTAGATGGCGCTGTGTCACTAGACTAGGGTTTCTAAACGCTGCCTGCGAAGCCGCCCCAACTTGGCTGCAGAGCCGGATTCAGGGGCTAGGGGGAGCGCCGAGCTTCCTAGAAAGGACCTGAAGGACCGTCTGTTCTGCAAGCCTTTTGTGTTCTGGAAAACCTATGGTGCCAATTACTGTACCCGAGTATTGCACCCTGGAGGAGGAAGAAATCACTTAAAAGCACCAGACATTATTGCATGATGGGAAGAGGGAGGTTGTCATGATCCGTCTTTGCTTTTGCATTTGCCAGTCTGTGGTCTAGGCGACCTCGGGCAGGGAAAATGCCCTGAGCCTTATCCAGCAGCCCCTGTATCCCTTATCTGTGAAGCGGAGCAACATGATGCGTGCATCACAGGGCCACGCAAACTGCACCGAGCTCGCTCGCATGCAGTTCTCACCACTGTAAGGCGCTTGCGCATCTATCACCTCGGCTGGCCCATGTGTGTTCCTGGAAAACTCAGGTTCAGGGAGTAGAAGTAATGGTTTAAGACAACCCAGACTGTAAGAGGCAGGGTAAGATGCTTAGATGATGGATTAGACAATTAGAAAGCAGTCAGGATCAGAAAAGCAACACACACACACACACACACACACACACACACACACACACACAATGAACCAGTATAATTAGGTACCGGATGGACACAGTAATATTAAAAGTTGTAGGAACAGCCTGATAGCTCAGCGGACTAAAGCACCTGCTTAGACATATGAAGTGGCTGGGATTCGATCAGCAGCGTGCTGTGCCGGCCTGCCCGCGAGGTCCGCTGAGACTGCGATTGAGACTGGACGTGGCGGCGCGTGCCTGTAATCCCAGGGCTTGGGAGGCTGAAAACAGAAGGATCACTATGAGTCCAATCTATGTAGTGAAACCCTGTAGACCATGTCGTAAGTACAGAAAAAAATTTTTTTTTTTTTTGTAGTAGAGAGATATTTCATCTTAGGTAATCATCCTAGACATGGTTTGGAATATCTAGGTTGGTTTTCTTCCTAGATAATCATCAAGCAGTCTATACTTCTGCCTGACTTGGAGTTGGAATCTCCAGGAGATGGATCAGGGAGCTCAATTAATAAGTTCCTGATGCTCACATTGATGGATGTCCCCACCACCACACACCACCCAATGTGGAAGTTACAGAGCTTGTGTAGTGGCATCATTTACAGACAGGAAAATGAGGCCCAGAAAGAAAACCCAGGGACACCAGGCAACATGGACATGGGAGACAGGATCTTTGCGTGTTGCCCAATAAGTGCCTGTCGGTCACCCTTGTCCTACATCTTCTGTTCACAGATTCCGGCTGAAGGGAGGCAATGAAACCTGTGCCTTGCATATGCTTGGATGGGTTCAAGGTTACTTGAAAAAGATGAAGCCCTGCTCACTGAAGGGAAAGTGAGGATTTCCCTCCCATCCTGGCCTCTGGAGACCACACAGTGCCACCTGTTCCTCAGCTTCCAGCCCTGTCCCTTTTCTTCTGCCCACTGTCCTGGATTCTTGGAGGACTGCATGGTCTTGATAAGCTACGTTGCTGTACTTTATATATTTAAATACAGAATCTCCAACTTCTGCTCCCGTGTGCTTCTTGAATTCTACAGGGATTTTGGAGTGTGGACTTGATTAGCACTGGGGCAGAGGAGGGGGCTAGGGGGCTGCGGGGGGTGAGAGAGAAATGCTGACTCGGCACCAGGGGAACCCATGGCTGTCATAGAAGCTGCTGTGTGCTCTCTGCCTGCTACCTCCACCTTGCCTTTGGGCAAGCTTAGACTTGGGCCTTGGTTGGCACCTCTGCCTCGGGTTTGGCAGCTGTGCGAGACGTAGTGGAGCAGCAAGCTGGGGCCTGCGCTGGTTCTAAGCTTGAGATCTGGGTGCTCTCTGTCCTTATCCCGCCTGGAGCACTCAGGGATGGTGTTATCCACTGTCCTAGCTGGAGGGAGTCTTGCCAGATCATCTGCCTATAAGGTGCTGCCCAACTTATTTTACAGATCAAGGGCCTGGGGGCTAGAGAGGGACACACAGAGCCCAGGGTTCTGGCCTCCCAGGCCTGAGCTTTAGCTGGTGTCCCAGGTTGCCAGGGTGCTGCCTGACATAGCTAGGCATAGAACTTGTGCCCTTGAGGTCCTAGGTACAGGCCCCACAGGGCTGTTGTTAGAGCCCTTCCCTCCTTGGAGCAGTCCAGGTGGGTGCCCAGGCAGGGGTACAGAGATATCTGACAGAGATGCCAACTTGGCTCGCCTGCAGAGGTTAGGCAGACTTGGGAAGAACAGGGCAGCCTAGGTGGACATAGAGGAAGAGGAGGCCCTATTGCTTTGAGAAGGACAGTCAGTCACAAACTCTGATTTGTATAATGATTTGAGAAAAATGAGGAAGGGGAGTGCATTCTGGGTCTCAGGACTGGCACCCCTTCACAGGCCAGCTTGGTGGCTTCAGGGACAAGGTCCTTTGTCCTGTGCTTCTTTTTCCCTAGTATTCAACATGTCATGCATCCGGCTCAGTTTTCTTAACCTGCCTCTTCCCCTACTCCACAGCCGACCTCCTCGGTCCCTTTCCCTCTTTTCCCGGCGTGCTGCAGCAGGCTGGCTCCAGTCCTCCTCTCTTCTCTCCATCCCACCCTCAGCCACAGGTTGCTGCTCCTGGCATCTCCCCAGCCTCATCCTTCTTGGTGTCCCCAAAGCCTTCATTCCTTCCCTTTCCTTCAGAACGGAGTCTAACTTCGTAACCTTCCCTTCTAGAAGCCTCCAACACTTACATTCTGGAACCCAAACCCTGGCCTTATGGAGACGATCCCTCCGGACTCTCTTTCTCTGCTCCACCCTCCACCAGCTGTAGAAGAATCTTTGCTATGACCACAGTATTCCATCCTGCCGGCTCCAGTCTCCTTAAGTCCTATTCCTGTCCAGCCTGTTGCTAACTAGGACGTGGCCGTGGGGCCTCCGTTTGAGATCAGGTACACATGTAGGGGGTGTTGCCCAACCCAGGCTTGGGGAAGGCTTGGAAGAGCAAGCACAGTGACAGGAAAGCCAGCTAGAAGACACTGGCAATGGAGCCTCTGGGTAGCCATGGCAGGTCTTAAGAAAACTCGCAGTCGTGGGGCATGAACCATACGTGAGGTCCTCGGTGTGAGCCACAGAAGCAGAGCTATTGTTGAACGCTGCCAGCACTCAGAGAGGCCCAGGGTAGGCACACAGCCAGGGCTGTCTATGCTGCATTCCCCCCAGGGTGCTCAGAGCGCCCGCTACTGCCATGGGAGTTTCCCTGAAGAAAACATCCTTGTTGTAGTTTCTAAATAAAATGAATTTCCTGAAAACATCCAGGAGTCCTCCTGCTCTGTTCATTGCTCTGTGCAGTATAGTTCATTTCTCTCTCCAATATAGCATAAATGCCCCATTCACAGGGCACATCTATCTGCTCTGTACATTGCAGTGTCCTTTCATGTCATTCCTCCAGGCACAGGCCTCATCCTTGACAGCCAGAGAGAAAGGGGCCTGGGCTACAGGGGAAGGCGCTAGGGGCCGGCCAAGGACCAGCTTGCTCAAAGCCTTGTTTCAGCAGAGGGTCTTTGAGCTGGGGTGTAGCTCAGTGGTGAGCTCTTGCTTAGCGTGTGTGAGGCCCTGCACCCCAAAAAGGCACAATAAAAGAGATCAAAGGGCGGGCGAGAGAGCTCAGGGGACTAAGCACCTGTTTAGGCAAGTGCAGGACTGGGGTTCGACGCCTAGCACCACGTGCTGTGCCCGTGCTGCCCCTGGGCACACAGGCCACTGAGATCCAGAACTGAGGAGACTGAAAACAGGAGGATCACTATGAGTCCAGGCTGCTACATAGTGAGACCCTGTTCCACACACAGGAAACAAAACAAAAGCAGATCAATACTCAAAATGAAATCGAAAACAGTAGCACAACTCAAGTAAAAGTAAACATTTCTGGAGAGACAGAGTACATTCTGCAACATAGGTTTGAAAGTTTCTATATGAAAATTGTGGTAAAGAGATTACAGATGGGCAGACAGGGGCAGAACTGAGCCGTCCCTTCTCACCCTCAGGTTGGTCTGCAGGAGTGGAGAGCTCAGGTCGTTAAGAAATGCTCAGGTAATTCACGGCATCCTGGACCCATTTCTGACTGGAGTCAGCACAGATATGTCTGTTTCTCTTGGTTTTGAAGCTGCAAAGGAAGGACAAAGTTATTATTGACTAGAACCCTCTGGGGGTGCTCCCTGCCAAAAGGGGGGATTCACTGGGCTCCAACTCTGCTGACCCTTCTGTGTACTGAAGGTCCTTCCTTGGACAGATGGCAGAAAGCATGTGGAAGCAAGGGGCCTCCAGCTGTAGCTGCCACTTTCACTGGGCCTGGGGAGGTCATCCTCGTGTCTGCTGAGGCAGCCACTTGGGTGACAGCTGGAGCCCGCCAGGGGGCAGGGCACCGTGGGAAGGTAGCAGCGCTCTCTGGACATGCTTCTAACACATCAGAGCAGGAGGATTCTACCTCATCCTCCGAGCATTAGCCTGACATCTCTCTTCTAGGAAAGAACTTGGATTGGGGCACATGGTAGGGGGCAGGCACTGGGCAGGGCTCTGCTACTCACATGATAGCCGGAACGGGACAAAGTTCACTGGTGAGCCGATAGTCTCTCAGATATTTCAAGGGGATCCTTTTTGGATTAATGAAAAACAACAAGTAAAAGGGATCTCTTCAGTGTGTTCTGCATCTAGACATAAAATCACCAGGCAAAAGCCTTCGGGAGCATGCCCAGCTTTTCAGGGCATGGACAAAGCAGAAGCAGGGTGAAGAGGTGAAAGCAAACCTGACCTACATCTGAGGAGTCCAAATCACCTGGCCTGGGCTGGGGCTGGGGAGGGACTGTGACTCATAGCTGAGACCTCAAACTCCATTCTCCTAGGCTGCCTGTTCTGGATGGGTCATAGCTATCTCAGAGTAGCCAGGGGCACAGCCAGGGGAAAGGTCCCAGGTATGGTCCCACATCTTCAGGGCTTATAATGGGCAGGGGCTGTTAAGGCAGAGGCCTGGCTGTGGTATCAGCAGCGTGGGTTCTGCTCTTGCTCTGGGCTGGCCCAGAGCTGAGTAAGTCTGGTGCCTCCTGGCTCCCAGGTGGGCTTCAGCTTTCTAACTTTCACATTCAGTGCTAAAGTGAAACCCTGGGTACCTTGCTGTTCTGATGGGCTCAGAAGTCAAGCACTTGGGCTTATGGCTTACAGCTTCCTAGAAGGCAAGAGAAAAAGAAAGGCAGAGAGAGCTTGGAGGGAGGACGGCTTTACCTTCCTGAGCCAGCACCAGGAGGCTGGTGGCAGCAGCTGTGAAGGCACAGAAGCGAGGCTGACACCTGCATGGTGGAGGGCAAGGGTGTGGCCTCAGGGTCAGGGCTGGTCTCAGCTCTCTGTCCCTCTGGCTTTTCTGCTTGCCTTTTATAAGAAGCAGAAGAGGTGGGAGTTCTAGGAAGACCTTCCCATAGGCTCTGTCATGGCCAGCTCATGAGGAAGTGGGCCCTAAACCTGCCAGCTGCAGTTGGTTGGTGCAGAGCATGCCAGGAAACGCAGGGAAGCTCTGGGCTGGGCAGCCCGGGCCTGTCCCCTCCTAGTTGCCTGGCACAAGGAGCCCAGGTGGAAGGTGAGCGCAGGGACACTGTAGAACTCACAGCTAGGAGCAATTCTGCGCTTGCCTTCCCCAGCAGGAACAAGAAAACATGGAAAATGACTTTTATACAGAAAGAGAGCTTTGCACGCGTTAGGTGTAAGGCATGTATCGATGCTGCCATTTGGTAGAGGAGGAAATGAGGGGGCGGATGAAATACCCTCTGTAGCCTCAGGGAAGGTAAGTAGCAAAATGAAGAGGAAACTGGCTTGTGAATATTTAATCATCACTAGAGAAGTCTGAACCTTTCAATGAGCTTCAGGAGTCTTTTTCCAAGCCAGGTTTAATGTGAATCTCCAACATCCACACAGGTGAAGTCTGAGGCTCCCAACCTCACGCTCTGGCCCACCACGCAGGCCCCGGGGGACAGATGCAGGCTTGTTTCCCCAATGCAAGGTGCAGGGTGTGGGGAGCAAGTACCCTGACGAGGGACAGGGTGCAAACCTGCATTGCTCCTGCTCCTGTTGTCCTCCCGAGAGGGGTACAGGGCTGAGCCTAGAGCTGAGGGGGCTGCTAGGTGAGGCCCAGCAGGTGGAGGGGACAGCGGGGTGAGGCCGCCTGCCTGAGCACAACTCCAAGTGTTGCTTGTGCTTTTCTTTCCTGTAATGCCCTCCCCTTCGCGCTCATCCTTCAAAAGAAGCCTTTCCAGGGAGGCAAAGGGAGCACAATGAAAGCAAAGAGATGGAAATAAAAAGTGAAGCTTAGAGAAGCAAAAAGGAACAAATGCCAGAAAGGACGGAAGGAGCTCAAAGCGAGTCCTTCTGCAAGCTCCTAGTGAAGCAGAAGCTCCCCTGAGGCCGTGCAGGAGAAAAGAGGCAGTAAAGCAAACAGCCAACAGCAGGAATCAAAAAATTAAAATTAAGAAAAGTTATCATGGCAGTCTCTGCAGACAACAAAAATGAAAATAAGAACCTAGGCCAATACGTATAATTTAGAGGAAATGGATGAGTTTCCAAAAAAACATAACTTACAGATTGGAAGAAGAAATGAAAACAGAAGTGTTTCTAAACTATCAAAGAAATTGAATCAGTAATGAAAATCTTCCCACAAAACATCCTCAGGGCTCAGGCGGCTTTAACAGTTAATTCCCACAAGCACTGATCATTCCAATCTTACGCAAGCGCTTCCCCAGAATTTCAAGAGTATGTGTTGCTCCACGCATTATTTTATGAATCTTATGTAACTTTGACAAGAAACACTTGTCAAGGACCACGTGAGAAAAGGAGACCAGGAGTGTTACCCTCTAGACAAACCGTTTCTTTCCATTTCATTCTCTTCCCCGGGCAGCCACTCTGGGTGTGGTAGGTTAGGAGGGTCTTCGACGCCTGCCTTTCTGACGATGGCTGCAGACACCAGGCAGTCCCTGTGGCCTTTGGAGAACTGGTCGAGGGGCTTTTGCCTACCTTTCCCCTATGTCGCCACTGGAGGGCAGCCTTGAGCCAAGGGTTTCAGCCTTCGGCATGGTATCCCCTACTGCTGTAATAGAGCTGTTGTAACCTCAGAATGTATCTTCTTCTTCTTCTTCTTCTTCTTCTTCTTCTTCTTCTTCTTCTTCTTCTTCTTCTTCTTCTTCTTCTTCTTCTTCTTCTTCTTCTTCTTCTTCTT